CCTAGTTCGAATAATTTTATTCATTATTATTATTATTATATAACCACTCCTCCTTGACTAGTTTAAATATTATGATATTTTTCCAACAAAACGATTTTATTTTAAATGTATTTAATTTAGCTTAAACGTATTTTTCTCACTGAGAAGTTTGAAAATTGGCCACAGACAGCGCCACAGTAACTTTTGCACATAGCGAATAGCAAGCTCTACAAAATTATTTTTTGTTACAAATTATCTACAAAATATAATGTCATCAGATCATTTTCTGAATTCTGAGACGAATATGTGATCTAGCATCTGTCTAGCAGATCAACATACCTACTTCCCGGGATCTATAGTCTCCAATTACTACAAGTTATCTAGAAAATATGATACCAATTCGATCATTTTCTAAATGAATATGTGATGTAACTAGTAAATCACCCCATTTCCTAGATTCTACAGCAGATAAGCTGTCATATCAAATTACCAATTCGATTGATTACTGAATCAGGCGAGCGACGCATCAATTTAAAAGTAATCTCTACAAAGGTTGTTGGATTCGAAGGGGAACATCAGATAATGACCTACAATTTGACCTTAACCTTGATCGTCACATCATTTAATGTCAAATCGACTGGAATACTTTAATCTTAGATTCAAAAAAGCGCAAATTTTTACGTTTAGATGAGGTTCTTTTCACTGAGTATCTTCTCTTGAAATAATACCAGAAAAAGAAATTCAAAAATAAGTTTTTGTTTTTTGGGTGATTCCGCTAACGAGATATAAATAATGTGTATATTATTGTAGGTACTCACACGTATACAATTGTACATTTAACAGAAGTAAGATTATATTTTATTATTATTTCGACAAGTTCTGTAAAGTTTTATTTTTAAATGTTTTGAATAAAGGAAATGAATTAAACTTAGCAAACGAATGTTCATTAAAAATACGAGAACACAGTTAAATAATTTCCTTAAACTCACAATTTACCTAATGCAGTATAAAAGTAAAAGTAAATTTAGCATATTCAAAATTCATTTGCGATTCAGCTTACCTGCAAGAAGACTCAGGGCCGTCTTCACCATGACTAAGGCACTGTATTTCATCACTACCTTTTCCTTTGAATTAATCATCGCTAGCTGCAAGACGCTGAGAAAACAATACACGCCCAAGATTGCAACGCCAAAACAAGCCACCACGCCGGATATCCACACAGCCCCTGAAACAAAACAGGTACGTATTGTATAAAGAAAAAATAAATCAAAAACATTGCTTAAATCAATACGTAAACTATTTTCTTATTTTGATGCTATTTTGGAAAAAAAATCCTTCTCGCATATTGCAGCGGAAAGAAGCTAACCAGCAAAAATCAGCGTTGCCAAACGAATTTACTTTTATTCCCTAATTTTTTACCTAAATTTTTTTATATCTCTAAAGATTTCTATGACAAAAAAAGGAAAGCCTTTGTTCCTTTCAAAAGTATTTAAAGGAATTTAGTACAAGTAACAGTACAAGTAGGTAGCTTTTAAACAACGAGAACCCATTGGCACAAAAATTATATTATAAATTAAATAAATATAGCAGTATTAGCATCTAGCAAGCAGAGGATAGCGCAGGGTCGTGTCGCCTTTAATAAAAAGAAGTCACTAATTCGAAAAAGGTTGTTAAAGGTGTATGTTTGGGGTGCGGCGTTGTACGGGTGAGAAACATGGACAGTGTGCGCGGTGAAAAAAAAAAGGTTAGGAGCCTTCGAAATGTGGTATTATAGGCGAATGGTAAGGATAACGTGGGTAAAAAAGGTTAAAAATGAAGAGGTATTAGAAAGAATAGGAGAACAGAGGACTCTATGAAAGTCAATAAAAAGTAGGCGAGATAGGTTGGTAGGATACCTTCTTAGGCATAAAAGGTCTAGTCGGAGACATATTAGAGGCAGAAACAGAAGTTAGGAGGGGTAGAAGTAGACCCAGATTAGATCACTGTTCGCAAATAGTTAAGGATGTTGTAGTTTTAGGGAAATGCGAAGTTTAGCGAAGGATAGAAAAGAGTGGAGGTACGTGTCCAATCAGTCTTAGGACTGATGACCTTATGATGATGATGAAATTAAATAAAAACCCCCTTTTCTCTAAACTAGCTTTAAATTAACTAGATTTACGAAAATTTACCTAGAGGTGCCAACGCTGGTCTAAAATTGAAAGTGTTAGAGGACACCTTTTTCCCTAACTTATTGCCTGCATAGATAGAGGTAAATCTGGTGAATATATCCAGTAGGAGTCGTTTTAAAAAGCTTTCGACTTTGGAAGCTAGCCAGTTAATAATAACCGATAGTCCTGAAATTGCCATTTCAAAATATTGTCAGCATATAGCGCTTACAAAATGCATATGGATGATACTTGTCAGTTTTCTTTTACAAAATACCTTGACAAAGATTCATATTAAATATTTGTCGGATAATGTAAGAACTTTCGTTCCTACCGGAGGTCCCACGATACAAAGGTACAGTTGGAGCAATTTTGTTTTCCTAAGGGTATTTATAGGGAATTTGTTTAAGCAGTTACACATTAATAAAAAATCGATTTAAATAGAATTCATGACTAGCTTGGCCTTACTTTGGCATTGTCTTGTATTAGTTATGTTAAGAATATTTTCGACGTATTTCTGTTCCCTTTGAGATTTTTCACTAAACTTAATTATATAGCAAGTACCTAATGATAAATAATTTAACTATTACTACTTACATGAAGTCCTAAACCGAGACGCATCTTCCCCGCAACGTTCCCGATTATACAAGAGAAGTTTGCACTTTCTCCAAGGACCGAAATATCCTTGCTCAGATCCTGGACCGCCTGCAAGAAAAAGAATAATACATATTATTACAATAATAACACAAATGTAGTGTTTATGGAAATATTAAATGTAGTGTTACAGGCGAATGATGAGGATACCGTGGAAGGACAAGGTTAGAAATGAGGAGATATTGGAAAGAGTAGGACAGCAGAAATCACTACGCAAATCGATACGAAATAGGCGAGATAAGTTGGTAGGATACTTTCTCAGGCATGAAGGGATAGTTAGAGACATATCAGAAGAGGAAACAGGAGCTAAAAGGAAAAAAGGTACATCTAGATTAGATAACTCTTGGCAAATAGTTCAGACTGATTAGTCAGGATAGGATAGAGTGAAGATGCGTGTCCAACAAGTCGACTAACGACCTTATGATGATGAACGTTTTAGTGAAAACTAAGCAGTTACAGTCTATTTCAATTTTTAGAATTGTGACCTTGATGAAATCTGAGCAAAGATAGAAAGAATACACACTAGGCTTGAGCAAGACAGAAACAGTGGGAACAAGCTTGAACGAGCAGAGCTCTCTATGGGCGGTCTTAGGAGATCGGCTAGAACTGTACAGTATTAGACGAAGATGTTTAGCAATTTCTTAAAACAAAAATGTATATAAATTTTAAATAAAGCATATTCTTAAATTTTAACGAGGCAGTTTCTATAATTATTTTGCAAATAGTACTGTACACTTTTGTCTAATTCTCGCTCGATGATTGGTGGAGAAATGAGCTCCGCAGACAAATATGATTGAATTTGGAATTATGCTACGGCGCATCCTAATAAAGGGAAGGGGCATATCTCCAACTTCGTGAAACGAACAGTAATTCATATGACTTTGGTGTCATAATGACCTTTTTAATTGAGTTACAAATACGAATTGAACTAGTTTAGCTACTGAATATTATTATTAAATTGCTGTTTTTTTTTTTAATTTATTCATTATTCTGCTATCTACCAGTACTACTATACATATATGTACCATGTAGACAATTTTAACGAACACAGACTATAAAATTTTTGTTCTTTAATAATAATTATTTATTTGTTGGGCTCTCAAAAAAATCCTATTTAATTAGTTAAGAGTAAGATAATTTTTGTCCAATTTGCGAGTAATTTTCTCATTATAATTACATACTGGATGTAAGAAATTCATACATGTATGTAGGTACATACAAGGCAATAACAACAACTGACAGGTGAAATTGAATAAAAGCAAAACATACATTGACTCTCCCGACAGAAGGAAATTGACATGTCAATACAAGTCAAATACAGTGACTACCGTATTCCATCGATGAGGTACTATTGTGTAAATAAAATACCCGTTTACGCGTCTACGTGAAGTGCACAAATGTATTTATTTATGGACACCCATTGATTGTCTAAATTAAATTTTCCAAATGAAATTCCAATTCGAATAAAAGGCAAAAACCGGATGAAATTCATTGTTACAAATCGGCGAAAAGTGACGCTTAAAATGTATATCATCCGGTAGCTTTCATTAAATCGTCCACAGACACACGTAATAACACAGGCATGTGCATTATGAAGGTAAACAACAAGTCAGCCTACATATGTATACTTTCAATGAATAGAAAGTAAATTTAGTAACGTCTGCTTTTAGCAGTTCGTGACAAAGAATCTCGAATCAATGAAATAGACACAAAAACAGTCTCTTAATTTAGAAACAATTTAAAAGCTATAATTCAGCTTCCAATAGGACACGAAATTAATCAGATATGCTTCAGTAAAATATTGAATACTGAACAGATACAGGATGATAAAATTAAAAATTTATTTTAAATTACTCAAACTCATGTTAAGGCCATGTTACATGGCGCGTGGAGCGTGAATCGACATTCCACGCGCCCGCTGCCTCCATACCGTTAGGATACCCCTGTCCGATTCAGATCGCGCCGAACCCGTTACACAGAGCGTGGATTGGCAATTCATGCGACCTATAATAGGGGCTTTATACGACGCATGGAACGCGAATCGGCATTCCACGCGCTAGCCGCCGCCGTGCAAAAAAATCAAGGAAACTGTTGGGATGCGCCTGTGCGTCCCGACCGCGTCGAACCCGTTACACAAAGCGTGGAGCAATCCACGCGTTGTGTAGGAGAAGCTTTACATGGTGCATGTAGCGTGGATCGGCGCTCCACGCGCCCTCCATCGCCGTGAAAGGAAGTCAAAGGAACCACTATGACGCGCCTGTCCGCCCCAGACTGCGCCAAACCCGTTACACAGAACGTGGTTTGGCAATAGGGGCTTTTTACGGCGCATTGAACGTGGATCGACATTCCACGCGCTAGCCGCCGCCGTGCAAATGAATCAAAGAAACTGCTACGATACGCTTATGTGCTCCTAACCGCTCCAGACTCATTACATAGAGCGTGGATTGGCAATCCACGCACCGTGAAACAGTGGCTTTACACAAAGGAATCTAAGGCGTATTGAAAATATCAGACACATCTACTGGAATTCTAAGTTGTCCATAAGAGTGTTCTTTGCTGTATCAATTTTATCCTACGTTTGTAATTGGTGGGTAACTCAAGAAAGCAAACATCCGTAAAATAAAAGAAAATAAAATTTACGTGTGTATCTATGCATGATGATCTAAAATTGGTAAAGTAAAATAAATCCAAACAGTTGAAATATCTTAATAAAAACTAACTTTCTTTTCTCGAGTTTTAGACAATAAAGACTTTCGGGTGTATTTAAAGAAAACGAGAGACATGAACGTAGATTAGGGACATTTTATAAGCAGGAGTAACAGTAAAAAGGGACATAAATAGATCTATAAATTAGATTACTGTCAGCAAAAAGTTAGGAATGCAGCAGGTTCTACTTTTAGGGAAATACAAAAATTGGTTCAGGATATAAAAAGGGTGGAAATACGTATCTAACCAGTCAGTCGATCATGTGATGATGGTTTATATTTGTGTAGGTGTACGCACAGAAAGGCAAACGGAGTAGGAAGAAGCCGGAAACGGAAATTAACACGGTTCGAAAGCAGTAGCATTCAAACACTGAAAACATTTCATCGGCTTCGGAAACGTCCGTCAGTCACCGATCTAAAAGCTTCTGTAAGCAGATAAGCGATTTTCTGTTACATGTCACCATTAACGAGTAAATTCGGTTCATGTTTATGTGATTTATTCAAATTAATAAAAGTAAAGGTGTTTTTTACTTTTTCTTTTGTATTTAGAAACATTTGAGTTAATTGGCTGCTTTTCAACTGGAATGCTTTATTGACAAACCAAGTTCAACAAAAAAGTGCAATTTGTATACTTAATATATATTCCGTAAAAATTAATAAGCGGAGTTACCGTTAGTAACCTTAAGAAGCCGCTGATTTTCGATATCTAGGAGGTTAGATAATTAAGGATGTGGGATGTTCTAGTTTTAGGAACATGCTCAGGACAAAAAAACAGTGAAGGTACGTGTCCAACGAGTCTTATGACTGCCGACCCTACGTTGGTGATGATAATGACTTTCTCTAAATAAAAAAACTGACCACTGGACCACATAATATTTGAACTTTATAATATACTACATGTGCAGTACATAGCAACCTCATAAATGCGAAATAAAAAGAATTCTGTAAGGTTCATTTTGAAAGCATCTCGTCATGGCATTTCTTTAAGGATAACTACAGATATTTATGAGCATACCCTCCAGTAAGCTGACATCAAAAGTATATTGAAAAGTAAAAATGGCTTCTTTCTGTCCTCAGTTCCCTCCTATTCAAGTGTTCGCCACAAGGCAACTATTACATAGGGGCAACACTGAGAACGGATTTTGTAAAATATCGCATTCTAAAAGTCTCACTAAAACCTATTAGCTGAGGTTAGTAAACGACGAAATCCTGCTGTGTCTAACAGGGTAACATGATATTAATTTATTAAATACATGTAAATAAAAGACCTTCTTATTTCAAACAATATTTTAAAGTAGTCCAACCGAAAGTTGTGAATAGTTAAATCAGCAACTAAATATAAGAAATTTATAAAATAAACTTTGGTACGTTCAAATTCCAAAATCCAAACAGTAGCAGTTAAATTAAAAACAAAGCTATTTAAATTTTACTTCCGTTTGTAGTCCTTTTTTTTACTACTGTCAATAAAAAGGCTTCAATTACTGATTAGTATTTCATAGTAAACCAGACTACCCCAAATATAGTATAATTTTCCATGTCAGTTTAATACCCACTAGCATAAATTCTATGACGCATTAGGATAATTCCGTTGGTTGTGAAATAGTACAATACCGCAAGGTGACTAATTATTTTCGTGTTTATTAAAGGTCTTAATGCAATATCTACAAATTTACCCATACATTTACACACATAAATAGTTCATACCTCGAGATACCATAGAAATATGACTCTATATTTTGGCCTTAGCCAAAGTAGCACAAATTCCTACTACTAAAATTATTTTTACAGTGCCAATATTTCCGGTTGTACCTAAAACAGACATATAACTCCACTACGATTTACGGTATTAAGCATTTATCTCTAACAGTTTTCCAGAAAAAATCGAATATTTTATACTCAAAACTTTATATTAGCAAAATGGTTTTTTAGTTGTCGATGTCCAAAGTACAGACCATGACTCAGGTCTAGTCCTGGAGCAAGCTCGACGTTCCAGTATGATTAACTTCATTCATAACCACGTACTGTAATTATTTTTTTTATGAACGAAGTTAGGGTTCTATGCAAGGTCGGTCCACCCACTAATTTCTTTAAGCTCGTAGCTAAAATCTATCTGTCACAAAAATACAAAACTAGGTTCCATAATCCAAAACACAACATCTTCACTCAGACGTATGAGGAAAGCGAAGAATGATGATATGATATGATATGATAATTTATAACCACGTCATATAATTATTCTTTTTTTGTACCTAAGCGAAGCTAGGGTTTGCCCACCCACTAATCTCTGCAAGACCTCAGCTCTACTCTATCCGTCTTTATATTAGCAAAATGGTTTTTGATTTCGCA